ATAGCACCTCAATGCTACATTACAATGTAACTCGTTCTTTTTGGAGCTGGTCGCGTGATTGAGTCAACATCTTTCTGCATGTAAACAAACCAACTCATCCAAATGGATGTATATATACACATATACATATATATATACATATATATATATATATATATATATATATATATATATATTTCTCTAGCACTTGACAAAGGACAGCTTCCAGAATCTCTCCCAGTTCAATGCTGGATTTGACTAAAAACTCCTCAAAGTTCCAATCATAATAGAAGAAGCTGTGGAATGTGAGCCACAACCTGAAAGTTAAGTTTGTTAAAATTGATTTATTACATGCATAGTTTCTAGCATTAACAGTATGTTGTAGCAAGGATGTAAACAAGGATATAAACAATGGGAAATGCTGTTTGGCACCGTTAACAATTTATCTACAAAACACCAAACACTCACAATCTTCTTCTATATGAAAGACACTTGTCAAATTATAATTTAGAGAGCAGACATGAGGCTCAGCTGAGTTTTCTGTCTGATTCAGGCTCGGATCCTGCTCACAGCTACTCTGACTGACAGCATTTACACAATGACAAATCGCATGCTAGTAGAGGTGGAGCGCTTCCTGAGACGTGGAATGGATCTGCAAATTACAGCACATTATGTTAGCTGACAAATCAGAGTGTCTTGAGGGCGGGCCTTTGGAGGAACTAGGAAATATGATTTTGTATTTTTCATGTTAGCCGAGTAGCTGTATATAATTAAAGTAAGATATAGGAAAAAATAACAGGATTTTTTTAAACAAAGGAAGCATGAGAACACATTGCTTTGCATACCATAAACGCAACCAAGCTTTAAAAACAGTCTGGACCACCCCTTTAATGTTACCAAGTATGTATAACTCCATACATTTGTATGTCGTTTTATCCATGGAACTTTATTCAAGGGCTTTATCGTACAGGATATAAACTGCCATAGCAGTGTTTTACCTTCCATTGCTCTACGAAAGCATTATTTCAATGGAAAGTTCACCTAAATACTAAAATTCTGTCATCATTTACTCAGCCTTCACTTGTTCCAAGACTGTTTTGAGTTTCTTCCTTTTGTTGAAGAAAGCTGGAAACCAGTAACAATAAGGCCAGGACACAGCAAGCCAATGCCAAACAACTAGTGAAATACAAAACTGTGTGTTGTCACCAGATTCAACACGCTAAATTGAGTCAACAAGCTCCTACGTTACTCTAAGAAGTGCCGATGTATGTAACACAGCAAACCAAGTATCCTGGGTTGCCTTTCCCAAACAACAATATAACTTGTGGCTAAAATATCATAGTATGATGCATCATTTGGCAAAAGAACAATGTAGCGATGACCATAGTTTCTCTGTAGCAGATCCATCGCTAGAACCACGTTAGTTATAATGTAAAACATAATGGTGTCTCAACGGGATGGAGTAACAACTTCTTTAGAGAAAATCCCCTTAACTCTTTTGTGCAAAATGTTTTACATGCACACACATTTTTTTAAAATCTGATATTAGTTTTAGTAAAAGCGTGCACTCATTTTTTCATATTAATTGAAATTTATGCAAACAGCACATATATATGTTTCCTTTATAAATATTATTGGGAATATTCTATATTCTACTCTAAAACATAAAACCACTTACGGAAGGCTAACAAGTCTTCTAATCTCATATATAAATAATCAAATTAATGGTTTTAAAATGTAGTAGGCTATTTATTAAGAAATAAAAAAGCAATTTCTTACTTAAAAATAAATATATAATTTCTTTAATTTTCAAGTAGTCTAATGTTTTTTTATGGCAACTTGTACAACTTTGACCCTTTCAAACCACTGCAGAAATGTTCAAGCATGCCCAATGGAGTACATACAATACATTTCTTTATAAACAGCCTAGGCTACTATAAATTAAAATCATGGAGATTCCGCTTTCCATAGGCCACGTAACTCTTTTGTCATGAGTCACAGCTGCGTTCACAATGGCATAAATTATTTCAAAGTGCATTACGAAGGGGGCGCAATTGTCAATATGAAGATTGCTCAAAATTAACTGTAAAAAATTTGAAGAGCAAATTACACATAAAAAGTAGACATTGATTATTTTTTTGGAACGTTGTAAATGAATAGGGCTTAGGGAGGCTAACTAGTAATAAAACACAGCCAGGAACTATGCTTCAACCTACAGCTCTAGTCGCTTAGTTGCAAGTGTACAAGGTTGCAATGCAGTTTGCAAATATTCGCTGGAATGATCAACGAACTATGTTTGCAACGACGAAACTTGCGACTTTGTTGGCTAACGATGGTTTTCAGAAAAGCACCCCTGACCAATGAAGCCCAATGGCTCACCGTCGGTTTGGTGTGTCCCTGCCCATAGACTTCCATTGCATTTCATGCTACTATAAAAAAACAGCCAGTGGTCAGAAACTTTCTTCAAAATATCTTTATATAAGTTTTAGTAAAAACTTACACTCATTTTCCATAATAATTTAAATATATGTAAACGGCACACATTTTTGTTTACTTTACACATATTTTTAAGAATAATCCATGTTCTATTCTTAAATAAAAAACAATACCTTACTTAATAATAAAAAATATTATATTGTTATTACATTATACACATGTAAAAAGATTAAGCAGTCTATTGTTTTTTGTCAACTTTGACACATTTAAACCACTGCAGAAATGTTCTAGCGTACAGACCCAATATACATAAACCTTTCTACTATAGGCTGCTATAAATGAAAACTATTGGAGACGTAACTTAAATTCCGCTTTCCATAGACCACCTATAGCTTTCGTTATGAGGTACAGCTGTGTTCAAAATAGCATAAATGATTTCAAAATGCACTACAAAGTTTGCAATGACGAAACTTGCAACCTCGTTGGCTAACAATGTTTTTTGCAAACGCACCCCTGACTAATAAAGCCCAACAGCTCACTGTTGGTTTGGTGTGTCCCGGCCACTTTATTTATGTTTAATGAAATAAAGAAACTCAAACTGGTTTCGTAGAGGTGAAGGGGGAGTACATTTTTTATTTTTTGGGTGAACTATTCCTTTAAGCCAGAGGTCACCAAACTTGTTCCTGGAGGGCCAGTGTCCTGCAGATTTTAGCTCTAACCCTAATCCAAACACACCTGAACAAGCTAATCAAGGTTTTGGGTATACTTGAAACATCCAGGCAGGTGTGTTGGAGGCAAGTTGGAGCTAAACCCTGCAGGGACACCGGCCCTCCAGGACTGAGATTGGTGATCCCTGCTTTAAGCCATTTGGCTTTAAGGCATTTGGAATGCAGTGAAATTTTAAATAGAAGCAAGTACATATACAAAACAAAACCACCCCCCCAAAATGTGATAATTATTTTTTTACCTCCTCGTACAAAGCCATTAGTTGCAATCGCAGAAGTCGAGCAGCCTGTGATGGTTGTCACAACAGTTGCCATAATAACAATGATACAGGAATATGCTGTGGAAATAAAAATGTGAGATGACAAAATGTGAGAAGTTAACATCAACCGACATCATGAAGGACAGCACTAAACTCTAGCCATTCGCGGATGGCAAAAATCCAATATACATTTCCAGTGTTATTCTACAGTATTGAAGCGGTCACTGAGGTCCTGCTAAATGACAGTTGACTGCTTATAGCGCCTCACAGCAACATTCAGCATGTGCATGACAAATGACTGCAGCTCGATGGAAAACACAAGAGTTTGCTTGTGAATTGAAGTGCTAATTCACACGGCCGACCAAGGTCAAACCTACCAATTCCAGCCTGGCCCACGATCCATGTCATTCGAATGAAGAGCATCACACCCCATATGTTTAACATGCAGCGCACCTGCACAGAGGAAGGATGCAGTTTAGACTCATGCTGACAAAAACATCAAGGACCAAAGCCGTTTCTCAAACCTAGCCACTGCTCAATGCCGACATCACCGGCACCAATGACCACTGGACAGGAACCAATCAGTGTTTGAAGAAATGCAGCGAATTAAAATGGCATCATGTCCATTACAACAGAAAAGAATTACCATTGTTAATGTAACACCCTTATAAGAGAAATAAACCAGCTCAGAGTTCCAGAGGCTTTAAATAAGAAAAAAAATATTTTTGTTTAACTTTTTTGAGCTGTAAAAAAATCTAAACACTTTCTTTGACAAAGCTACAACCTCTGGGTGAACTTGTGTTTTTTATTACTGCTGTAATTCCTGTGGGTGAGCTGCCAAAAGTTGATTGGTTTACCAGCTTTAGGTGGTAGTAACTTTACACAGAACTTTACACAATAAGTACTTCTTAACCAAGTAATTTTTCACACTGTTCTCATTTGAACAACATACATTGCCTTCTTGCAATATTAAACAGTGTGTATTGTAAGCTTTATTAACCAGCCTAAAATCTGATTTAGTTTTTTTTTTTAACAGAGAACAGTTTAAAAAAAATTCTGAAAGTAATGGACATGGCTGGAATTGGCTGCTGACTTGAAACACATTTGAACACATAATGGTTTCAAACTTTGATTGAATTCCTGTCATGGTTTGAAAGACACTTTGTATGAAAATGAATTTTCACTTCGACACTATGAGAAGCTGTTTGGTGTCAAATGTTAAGACTGGGAAGGTGAAAATGAGGACAATTTTAAGGACGAGGAAGGCCTGTCAAAATATTGACCAAGAGACAAGAAGCAGAGCTGATCTGCGAACCGTAAAGCTTTTACAGGATTCAAATAACAAAGGGCGGAGGAGTCAGTACTGACCAAAGCCACAGCTTGTTGAGAGCATTAGCATATTAAACATTACAACGGCACAACAATTTAACATTCAGCCTCTAATACGAGTCTCAACAGGCAGCAGACATAGCAAACTAATACGAAGATCAATTATCACCCGTAGCAGAAAAGTATCACTCATTGTCCACATTATATTCATTCCCATGTTTGAATTGGTGTAGCAGCCACACAAATGACACTCCATTCAGAGTTTCAAACAGAACTTCGACTGCACCATGGTTTGGCTTGGTTAACACATTTTATGGCAAGTTCTTACCAGCACGCCCTTGATCCATCCGAACTTCACCACTCCTTTAGACTCTGATACATCTTTAGCTGCAGACTCCTCGGCAGGGGTCAACTCCTCGCCGTTAGCAAACCCATCCTCAAATGGCTCCTGCAAATCAGATAAATACATATTAATTAAGGGTGTGATAATACACAGAAGTCATGGTTTGATAATGGTTTAGATAAGTACAACAGAAACAAGCAACATCCCCGGTGCTTGATTTTGTTTATTTTAAAACTTGCAAAAGTGTTATCACAATCAGATACAGAATTTAAAAATATATTATTAGGAGACTAAATGGTAAACTTTCAAAGATTAAGCCCAGAAACTGAAATCTCTTTTAATGAAAATGCTACCACAGGAGGTCTATCCATCTGTTGTTTGTAACAGCGGGTGCAGTGGACAACTCGTGTTCAATCACTGCTTATGTGCGTGAGATTGTTTTCTATGAAAACATGCGCTTGACAGATATTCGTTACCATTATACAGTCACATCTTTTGAAGAGCATCGCACATGAGTGCCATGTTTTGTTGACATCATCTTAAAAAGAATCAACTTAAAAGAACTGTAACTTTTACATGGAGTGCCACTCATAAATATGAGTTCCAAAGCAGTGGACCAATCAGAACAACTTTGAGGCAGGGCAAGCATTTCAAGCCATTTTTTATAAGCATTTCCTCGCAAAGATGCTTTCTGTGTGAATGGCTCTGAAGTTGTTGTGGTCTTTTTCTTCCTAACTCCAGTGACTGGCATTTATAGGCTGATTGCATGGTTTCCGCTACATTAATTCTTTCATGGTGGGGGACCACACCAAAATTCACCCTACCACAGCTATACAGGTTCTCATTTACAGGTTCTTGTTTTTTTAATAGCGGGTTATAAATCGCACCAAAACGTATTAAAAGGTAAGTGAATTATAACAGCGCAAACCTTTCAGTAACCGTAGTAGTTCTGTGTGTTATTTGTTTAACCCTTTAAGGTGACATGTTGACTGACAGGTGCATGATGCATGAGGCAAATGCATTAAATAGCTTACACACTGCTTAATACACTCAAAATGTAGAGCAATACACAAATATCTTTACAAATGAAAAATAATTAAAATATTAAGGATATATATATATATATAGGATATAAATATAAAGGATAAAAATATTACAAAACATACTATTTTCTAGCCTACATAAATTTAAAAACCACTGCCTTCATGCCTTCTTCACTTCGAGAGGCTTTTTCAGTTTATTCATAACAATTTGCTTTTTTTGTAATGTTATTATTATTAGCGGTATTATTTAGTATATCCATATTTATATTTGTTTTATTAAAAACAAACTTAGACTTGCCCACCTGTCACGTTTCAGACCACATGGGGCACAGCATGTGTATTTGGATAGAACTCATTTATTCGTTTGCTGGAGATTAGAACTGAATTTAGAAATAGTTTTGAAACAAATCTTTGCTCTTAATAAACGAAATTAATTATTTATAGGCTAATTGATGTCTGTGCGTACAAGGTTTCCCTATCCACAAGAGCGAAAGTGAAAGTAGATTATGAGATGCCTTATCTCTCATTCTCACGCTGCAGATGTTCTGTTTTAATGTTTTCTTGCTAGCGAAACACTCAGTTTGTCCACTTACAAAGTCGTCATGTAAATAGCAAATGCGCTATGGCGCGACGCAACTGGCTCTTTAAGAGGATGGGAGATGAGACTGATTGTTTTATTCTCAAAACACACCTACAACTTATTTAAAAAAATAAGCTCAACCCTTTTAGATTATGCGCCACACGCAAAACAGATTTTTCCGTCCTTAAATTAGCAAAAGGGAATTCTGACACGCCCTGAAAGCGTTTGCGCCCTGCGCTTTGCACTTTGTGCATGGACCGTCAAAATAGAGCCCCTAATGTTTCATGCAATATCTACATATGTGTGGTAAAAAACATGTAAAAACTTATTATTAAACACGCAACAATCGATTTAGTTTCAGCTTATATTTATATCTATGTAAAATTGATTTAGATAATGCTTACACCGCACTAATAATTTGAGACTATGTGACTGGCCAAGGACAAAAAGTAGTAAAGACAACAAATCTATACAAATCTACTTGTTTTCCATGACTTTTGCAAAACTTTTTGGGTTTTTCTGATTTTCCAAAACTTTTCCAGGCCTAGAAAACGCCATGTTAAAATTCCATGACTTTTCAGGTTTTCCATGACCGTATGAACCCTGCTTGTTACATATACGCACTAAATCGCACTTCAGCAGTGTATATTTTATTATTTATATATTTTATATTTTATCTATTTATTATTATTTATTAAAAGCGCACAAGAAGATCTGCGCTTGAGCAGCGTATATTTGAGGGCATGCAAAAAGTTTTGTGCAAGAACAGAGGAAATTGGCTAGCAAGCAAATGCTTGTATTACATAAATGCGATCGATCTCGACTTGTAATTTTGCGCTAATGGCATTTGTCATTGAAATAATACCACAGGTAGTTGGTACATCTATATACAAGGCCTGCCGCCACAGCTGGAAAGAATCCTAGAAAAAACACTGGACTGTATTTATTTGAGTACATGAACTGAACTGTGATGGCCGTACCATGACTGTTCTAGATGAATACACCCATAACAGTGATACATTTGCTTGTGAAGACCAAGGTCATCAACAATTTGTTTCAAATTGTAAAAGTGAGATTAAAAGGTTTTAAAGTACTGTAACATTTTAGTACCAGAATCAGAAGGGCTAATGCTGTAGATACGATGAGAGATTTGACACCAACATGATGCAAAGGCAGAACTAATGCAACTTGAAGACTTCATAAACCTTTAAAATGCATTTTAAACCACACAGTTAGTTTAGTGTTTTTTAAAGGTCGAACACAGGAAGTGCCCCTCCTTCATAGAAACAATGCCATGACGAAGGCAGCAGCCCCATTACAGCTCCTGGGATATAAATGACCCTGCCTGGACATCCACACAGAGGGGAAGAGACATTACAATGACAATGTGTCAAGTTTATAACATCCTGTCCTAGTACACAGAGCTAACAAATATAAAGCTTTGGTTTTGACTGCGGAAAAAAAATACTGTGGTTCGATGCAAATGCAGATGCCGGGGGCCGTATTGATGGTGGTTACAAGCGGTTCAATATGAGTGTAACATGTTGAGGACAAAAGTACAAGGAGAATCTCTTATATCCTCAGCAATGACCTCTGAAAAATGATCAGATGTGGCAGTCAGGCCTCTCTTCACTCCACACCCACATATTTCTTGAGGGTATTTATTCCCGCTAAACTGGCACGTGAAGCTTACGTCCTCTTATGTGTCCTTGACCAAATGAGTGAGTGTTGACGGGATTCATATTGGTGACATTGAGTGGCGTTTATTGATGGCCCATAGCTTTAGGACATACTGTATTGCACGTTTAATGAACTTGCAGGACTTTACTAATATTCTGAAAGTCCACATGTAGTGGCCACAACATTTGCGATGAAAGATAACAATATCAATTAGAAATGATTAGCTATCACTTATACACACATTTTATTTGAGTTTATTAAAACTTTTCCTAAGCACAGTATTAGTGAGACGAAGAGGAAGAATGTCTGTCAAAAATCATTTAATAATGACATGATCAAACAAACTTTGTTTCTAGTTTGCTAAACAAGTTTTAGTGTTTTCTGCTCCTATTATCATTTGTTATTGCATAATAAAAGCTAAAAAAAAAAGTAAAAATATATTTGCTACTTTTTTTTTTTTTTTTACATCTTCTCTCTTTCTTAACATAGCACAATATAAGACAAAGCAAAGTTTATTTTCAACTACTTATCTATAAATGCAGGTACAAACTAAGCTGAGTAAACCATTTAATAAAGGTTTAATGAACATAAAATTGATCACAGACTCAGAACCATCCATGAATATCCATTAATATCTATTTGAATAATGGCTCTATTTTTAACTAATTTTCTCCTAGATAAGAAATTCTTTTCTGTAATAGTTTTTTCCAAAACTGTACAGCAAAAACAGAATCAGTGATGCAAGTTTAGCTATATTAGGGTATATGCAGGAATCCTAAAAGGTCATTTCAATAGCTTTTTAAAGATCTTCTTCTATTTGAAGACCTCATTGCCACTTCCAAGTTCTAATCAGTATTAAACCTTTAACTTAATAAACAGTTGTTAATAAAAATATGTAGTTAAATAAATCAATGGGGCGCAACCATGCAAAACAACTCAGATAAGCTCAGAAGAAACAAAGCTTGAAAAAATTATATGGTTGTTTTCAGTGACAGGCTTCCGCCACTGTTTAAACTCATCTTTCCCCAACCAGCAGTACGCAAACTTACATTTTATCATTTGTCTGTTTTGCTCTATGGTTGCTACATTTAGAGACCGTGACATCACCTGGATGGAGGAGCTTGGCCGGACGCGACCCGGTCCAAACCAAACGCATGGATAAAGCACACCATTGTTAATATAAGGAGGAAAATTGATGCTTTATTGGAGTCAAACACTTTGGAAAATGCTTGAACTAAATTTAAGACTTCATAAAAAGCATTTAAGACTTTTTTTAAATAACTTTTAAGGGCCTTAATTTTCTCATAATATAACTTTTAATACTTTTTGAGACCCCGCAGACACCCTGTATATGTACCATTTAAACAACATCATCAAACAGTGGGGTTGTTTAGGTCAGTTCAATTAGTTTAGAAGTTCATTTGACAGAATCAAGTTAAATTAAAACACAATACACACAATGTGAATAATAACTTAAGCTGCATCTCAAATGGCACACTATACACTATGCACTCATACACCATGTACTTAGGTAATTACACACTCAACTGCATAGTATATGTATATAGTGTCGTCCCAAATGTAACACGTTTTTTTTTTTTTACCAAGCGGAAATGCAAACCGTTTCCCTGATGACATCTGACGGTTGCCAAATCAGTGAAATAAAGGATCAAACTATCAAATAATACCTGCCATGAATATAGCCGCATTCACCATCGGGAGGCACTATAATCACTCTTGTAGGAAGATTTTGCTTTCACCATTCAAAATAAATAAAGTTTTCCAACATGTGTACCCGATAG